GGTCCCAGACGCCTGGGTTCCTTGCAGTGGGGGGGGCCGTCCCAGTCCCGTCTCAGCCGCCGCCGCCGCTGCGCGACCAGGTGCGACCCCTCGCCACCCCTCCCTCGGACGCCTGGGTCCCCTCCTGGGTTGGCGGGGGACGTGCTCGGAAGGGTCCCGGACGCCTGAGTCTCCCTTCTGGGAGCGGGGGGCTTGATGGGCGCCCGGACGCCTGGGTTCTCTTCTTGGGAGGGGTGTTAACGTGGCGGGGCGGTTCCAAGGTCCCTCGGACGCCTGGGTTCTCTGCTCTCCGGACGCCTGGGCCCCCACCTGCCGGGGGGAGGGCGATGGGGGACTCCGAGGGGCAACCAGACGCCTGGGTTCCTTCTCTTCGGACCCCTGGGTTGCTCCTGGAGGAGGAGGCGATGCTCTGAGATCCTCCGAACACCTGGGTCCCCTCCTTCGTTGAGCGGGAGGATGGGGTCTTCCCTCGCGCTGGCTTTCCCGGACGCCAGGGTTATCTGTTCCTACAGGGGGGCCTCCCCGCAATTCCCCGGTCGCCTGGGTTATTTTCTGGGAGAGAGGGCTTCCACATTCCCCGCTTTTTAGGCATCACACCCTTCCCGGACGCCTCGATCCCCTAGGCTTTCACCGCGTCCCGAACGCCTCGGTCCCTTCCCTCCCCGCAGAGACTCAAAGGCGGGGGGAGAGAAACCAAGTGTCCGCCCCTCCTCCCAAAAACGTCCTCTCCCCTTGACCGGGACCCCAGGTGTCCGGGCTCCCAGCCCACCCCCAACTACTACCCATTCCCTCTCCACCAAGAACTCAGACACCTGGTCCACAAGCCCCCACCCCCTCCTAGGGAACCTAGGCATCCGAGCACTCACCCAGCCCCACTAAGCCCCTCCAAACGGAGCACCCAGGTGTCTGGGCTCCCAGTCTCCCCAGCTCTAACCACTAGCCCTCACCCCACTCCTAGGGAGACCAGGCATTGGGGCAAGAGGCTCTCCCCACAGGGGACACTTGGGTTCAAATCCCAGCCCTGGAGATAGAGGGGGAATGCTGGGTTCCCTGGATGGTGGTGGGGGGTGTTAGGCCTGGGGGAGCCATACACCTGGGTTCCCTAGGAGAGGAGTGGTGGGGGGAGTGGTTAGAGAGGAGGGGCTAGGAGGCCGGGTGCGGGGGGGGGGGGGGGGGGGGGGGGGGGTTGGGTGTAGTGGTGAGTGCCAGGATGCCTGGATTCCCTCCCCTTGGCCATGTGGCAGCCCACCCCAGCCCAGGACAAGGCTCTTATTGTAGCTCCAGCTCCAGCATGAGGGGGCGGGGGGAGGTTGGCCCCGATCCGGTGCTTGTCATCCTTGGCCCTGGCCCCAGTGGCTCTGACTCACCGGCGCCGCTGGTCCAAGGGGGAGAACCCAGGCGTCTGGGCTCCCAGCCCCACCCTGCTTTCACCAGTAGCCTCCATGACCCACCCACAGAACTCAGGTGTCTGGACTCCCAGAATCAGGCCCCCTTTTTGCTCCCCATTATGTCCCACCCCAGACCCAGCTGCATCTCTACCCTTGTTCCACTCAGCTGTGCCTCTCCTCCCAGTGCCAGCTGCCTCCCTGTGCCTTCCCAGGCTGCCATGGAGCTCCTGTACCTGGCTGTGCCCTTCACCAGCCTCAGCTGCATTGGCTCCCTGTTATACCCACTCCAGAACCAGCTGCATCCTTGCTGTACCCTCCCCAGAGCTAGCTGCAGTCCCTAAGCCCTGTTTCACTTGGCCGTGCACCACCCCAGAGCCATCTGCCTTCTGATCCCTGTTATACCTACCCCAGAGCCAGCTACATCAGGCTCCCTGTTCCATTCAACTGTGCCCCCACCCGGGCTCAGCTGCCTTCCTGTGCCACACAGGTCACCATGGTGCCCCTGCTACTGCTGGCGCTGCTGTATCCCACTGGGGCACTGGGGCTGGGGCTGGTGCCACCCTTTGAGCAACACGGCTTCCTGGACTTCTCGCTGGATGACACACCGGCGCTGGGGCCAGGGGATGAGGACGAGGCCTCAGGACTCTTCCCCACCTCAGGGGCCCCTGACCTGGGCCTGGATGAGTTGGGGCTGCCCCCACCCTCAGGCCACTGCCCCTTTGGCTGCCACTGCCACCTGCGTGTGGTACAGTGCTCTGACCTGGGTGAGTCGATGGGGGTATTACCTGGGGGAGCAAGACACTTGGGTTTCCTACTAGGGAGAGGACACCTGGGTTCTCTAGGGGGTGGTGGGGCAGGATGCCTGGGTTCCCTATGGGAGGAGGGAGGGGTTTTTAGGGTTCCTGGTTGGGGGGTTGTCTGGGTTCCCTGTTGTGGGGCAGGGGGGACATAGGGGTCCCAGTGGCTGGGTGTGTCACATGTGTCTCTCCACCGCTGCCAGGGCTGAAGGAGGTGCCCAAGGACCTGCCACCTGACACTACACTGCTGGACTTGCAGAACAACTTCATCTCAGAGTTGCGGGCTGATGCCTTCAAGGGGCTGGAGCATCTCTATGTAGGGCTGGAACCTTCTTTCGGGGCCCTCACTCCCCTGGAACCCTTCTTTATTCATGCAAAACTCCCTGGGACCCTCTTCTGGGACTCCCATCTCCCTGGAAATGGACCCACCCCCTTGGTGACCCCTCCCACCTCTGCTCTCTAGGGCCCCCTGCTGGCAAATGCCAGTACTGCAGCTGCCTCTCTCTCTCTGCCTGCCCCCATACCTGCCCTTCACCCCTATAGCTGTCCCTCCCTGCCCTGTTTCCTGATATGTTCTCTGCCACTTTATCTGCCCCTATACCTGCCCCCTTCCCTGCTCTGTTTCTGGCACTTCTGTCCCTGCATCTTCCCCCACCCTCCGTATCTGCCCTCCTGTGCCCTATACATGCTCCCTCTGCCCCATATCTGCCCCTCCTTGCCCTGTTTCTGCCCCCATTTGCCCCATACCTGCCCCTCATACTTGTCCCCCAGGCACTGGTGCTGGTGAACAACCGGCTGTCACGGGTTGACCCCAAGGCCTGGACTCCACTGCGGCGCCTGCAGAAGCTCTACCTGTCCCGCAACCTCCTGACTCGGGTCCCAGCTCCGCTGCCTCCTGCTCTGGTGGAGCTGAGGATCCATGACAACAAGATCCGCCGCGTGCCCAAGGCTGTGTTCCATGGCTTACGCCAAATGAACTGCATTGGTATGGCTAGGAGGCTGGGCGGGGTGTGTGATACAGCCTGTATAGGCCTTGGGTCAGGCCGATATGTGGTTTATGGGCCCTGGGGTCCTACACACACACGCACGCGCGCGCGCATGCGCACACACGTCTGGGCAGGTATGTATGGGCCCTGGTGTTCTGTATGGGGCCTTGATCCCTTGTCTGGGCAGATACAGGCAGTGTGGGACCTGGACTAGAGAGATATGGGTAGATATGGGGTGTAAGGATCTTGGCTGAGCAGATATGGCCCGCAAGGACCTTGGGGTCTAGTAGGGGCCTCATGACCCCATGTGATGCTGACCTCCATTCCCCCTGCAGAGATGGGGGGCAACCCCCTGGAGAACAGTGGCTTTGAGCCTGGAGCCTTCGATGGCCTTCAGCTCAACTACCTGCGTATCTCCGAGGCCCAGCTCACTGGCGTGCCCAAGGGTAAGGCCCCCCCATCCCTCAGGACCGCCTCCCCAAAACCCCTAGGACATCCCACAGCCCCTCAATACCTCCTAGGACCCCCCACAGCCCCCAAACCTTCCAAGACCATCCCCCACAGCCTCCCCAAACCCACTGGAGATCCCAACAATTCCCCCAATCCCCTAATATCTCTCTTTGACCCCTCCATGGCCCCCCTGAACCCCCAGACTCCTCCCCACAGCCCTTCAAAACCTGTGGGATCCCCCACAGAATCCCCAAGATACCCACAGCCCCCAAACCCCC